GGGGGTGGAGGATGGGGGGGGGGGGGGCAGGGAGGGGATGGGGGGACAGGGGACGATGGGATGTGGGGACGGGATGGGTGACAGGATGGGACAGGGGGATGCAGAGGGACATGGGACAGGGGGATGAGGGACGGGGGGACATGGGACAGGGATGCAGGGACGGGGACGCAGGACGATGGGATGCGGGAACAGGAGATGGGTGACAGGATGGGGCAGAGGGACATGGGACAGGGGGCTGAGGGATGGGGGGACATGGGACAGGGGGATGCAGGATGAGGGTCAGGGACGGGGATGAGGGGACATGGGATGGGGGATGGGGCAGAGGGACATGAGATGGGGACACAGGGATGGGGGATGAGGGATGGGGGGACAGAGGATGACGGGATGCGGGGACAGGGGATGGGGCAGAGGGACATGGGACAGGGTACACAGGGCAGGGGGATGAGGGGACAGGATGGTGGGACATGGGGACGGGGGCCTGCAGGGACAGGAGAGGGGATGGGGCAGGGGGACATGGGGACAGGAGGATGGGGGGACATGGGTTTGGGCAGATGGGGGACAGGGGGACATGGGGACGGGGGGACGTGGATGGGAGTCGAGGAGCCGGGGGGACGTTGGTGCCGCGGGCGATGTCCGTGTCCCCGGGAGGTGACAGGGTGACACGTGCGTCCCCAGCGCTTCAGCATGGAGGGCATCTCCAGCATCCTGCACTCGGGCCTGCGCCAGACCTTCGGCCCCACTGCCAGCGAGAAGCAGGTGCCCTTTTCCCCCCAAAATTGCCCAAATCTCTCCCCTCTCACCCCCTCCCCGCACGCCCCGTCCCCCTGCAGCCCCCCAACCCCTTTTCCTTTCCCAGCCCCCCTCCGTCCTGCACCCCCCGCTAATCCACGTTGCAAAAAATCACCATTTTTCACCCCAAAAAATCCTCCCTAAGTAGGGGTTTGCATTAGGGCGGGTTTTGCAACCTGCGATTCATTCAGTAACCCCCCAAATTTCTGCAAATTCGATGCAAGCGCAGGAAAAGGGTGGACACATTCTGCTTTTGCACCAATTTGGGGTGATTTGCCTCAAGGCGATGCAAAAAACAGGCAGTTTTGTGCCATCTGGGTGGTTTTGGGGGTGGTATTTTGTATTTTTTTTGCTTGCAGTACCTGAACACGGTGATTCCCTACGAGAAGAAGGGGTCACCCCCCTCCGTCGAGGACCTGCAAATGCTCACTAACAGTGAGTATTCGTTCCAAGGCGCCGTTTTGGGGCAGAATCGGACGTTTTGCATCGCTGCGGCGTGGGCGACGGGGGCTGCAAAGGCGCATTTCGCCTTGCTGCGGTGTCCGCAGTTCGGGTGCATCCACGCCACGCAGCCCATTTGGGGTGCAATCCCCTTTTTTGCATTGTTGCAGCGCGGGCGATTTGAGGTGCAATCGCCCGTGGTGCATCATTGCAACCCATTTTGGGGGGGGGGGGGGAAGAAAACTTTTGAACCCGGGGGCGCGGTGTGGGGGGGGGGTCGC